TGTGCAGTGTGTGTGTGTGTGTGTGAAGGGTGTAGTGTGCATTTGTGAGGAGTATAGTGCGTGTGGGTGCAGTATGTGTGTGAGGGTGCTGTGTGTGTGCAGTGTGTGTGTGGGAAGGGTGTAGTGTGTATGTGTGAAGGGTATAGTGTGCATTTGTGTGGAGTATAGTGCGTGTGGGTGCAGTGTGTGTGTGTGAGGGTGCTGTGTGAGGTTGATGTGTGTGAGCGTGCTATGTGTTAGGGTGCTGTGCGTGGGTGTGTTAGGGGGCTGTGTGAGGGTTCTGTGTGTGTGTTATTGTGCTGTGTGTGAGTTATTGTGCTGTGTGTGTGTTAGGGTGATGTGTGTGTGTGAGGGTGCTGTGAGTGAGGGTGATGTGTGTGTTAGGGTGATGTCTGTGTGAGTGAGAATGCTGTGTGAGGGTGCTGTGTGTGTTAAGGTGCTGTGTGAGGGTGATGTGTGTGTGTTTGGAAGGATTGTGTGTTCGGGGAGGCAGGTTAATGCCAAGATTTATGTATTTATTTATTTTTTATAATAATAATCATTTTTTTAAAAAGGCAATAATTCTTACCTGTAGCCTGGAAGGGGGAAGGGGGGCCTGCTGCCATCCATCCCCGGTGGTCCTAGTGGTGAGTGAACTCTAGCCTGTGGGCCTATAGTTCACTCTCGCGAGACCAGGAGTGAGGGAAACCCGGCGGAGCGGCAAGATAGAGCTCCTCCGGGTTCTACAACATGACAGAAGGCATAATATTTTGCATATCTCTTTACTCATTCCACAGCAGCAGCAACAAAAAAAAAAAAAACAGTAACAGATAATCACTCAAAAACAAGTAAGATACATAGCCAGTACAGTACACCTAAGCACCTCCTCTTTCTTTGCTGCTCCACAACAAGTCAGTTCAGAGTATTTACTTCTCTTCCTGGAGTGCTGGTTAGGAATGTTATACTTTTAAAATCTTTTTTTTTTTTTTAACATATACTACTTTTTCTACATTCAGTGCATCTCCTACTGGGGTTTTATACCATTTTATTCTGTATTTCCTTGCTGTCTGTACCACCCTTGGTATGTACTTGTGCCTGTCACTACTTTGGATGCCTACCTCAGGCATCCCCCTCTCTCCCACTGGGTTCCTGGATGTTTCTACCCTGAGCAGGGCTTCCCCTCTCTCCTCACTGTTTTCGCTGGCCCTAAGCACATTTTTGCGGCATGCTTGGTCCGTTTGACCCTGTAATTAGGCCGCAGCTCCCAGCATTTGGAAGTTTCGCACGCTTTCAGCATTTGCCGTATGAGAGTTTCTTCGACTTTCAGTCGTGTACCGCCGCGTTCGGCCTCACTGTTTTTTACTCTCATGAACGGCCATTTTAGCTTCCGACTCTCACGCGATCGCAGCAGCAATTTTGGTTTTGCATGAGTCTTGGTGTCATCAGGTCCACGCAGATTGGGTCTCACAGTGTTCCTACAGTGTTCTCAAAGTATCCCTGCTATTACCTGTGCTGCACAACTGTATTTGGCAAACTTTGGTGTGTCTACTCCTTCATCCTGGAGGTCAGTCTCTTGCTGGAAGATTGCCCTCAAGTGTTCCCTTTGGGGAACTTCTATATCCTCCTACCAGTAGGAGTGGTGTACACTAATTTTTATATTGGGACTCTATTTATCCCTGGCTGCTGTGAGGGAGTCTGCAAATGCACACTCCATTTCTGGGTGAGCCCCAATATACCTGCCTCTGACACACGTGGTTGATGTCTTTGATGAACTACCCTTCGCCACTGGCTTCTGGAGGGGCCTGATTGTCAGCCTCCTGCCCCAAGACTATGGGCCCTGCAAAAAAACATGCTAAAAAGTGACTTCCATGGGAAAATGTGCGTCTCCCCCTCCCCCTTTTCCCTGTCCTATTGTTCTCCAGCAGGGCGTTGTACCAGGGACACTGCCAGACCAGTTGAAACGGGCTGCTTTGTCCCTCCTCAATCTCTCATCAGCCCTTGCTATTTTTTGACCCCACCCTTATTTGTACTATAGGGCACTTTTAACATTGGACATATTGAGCACTCCGATCCAAGCTATCTGGGGATATGTTGGACATATACGTTAAACATTATTATAAGACTTATGTATTTTTATGTGGTTTGTGTAACAGTTTTTGACTTAGAGATATTTCCTGTACCTGGAGGTAATTAAGTTACCACAGCTACTTAAGCCAATTATCTCCAGGATAGAGGAGAAGATAGACCGACCGCACAGCCTAAATCTGTGGAACTATTTTGGGCATGAAAGCCATGCTTGGGGTCGGTCAAATGTGACTTCCATAAAAGTTTTGAATCCCTGCTCTGATCTGGGTGATTTTTGGATATGTTGTTTACCCAGATCAGAACTATCCAGGGATGTAGGATTTGTGGGGATATGTGTTGTTTTGGGGTGTTTTCTGTGTTTAGTGAAAAATGAGTGTTTTCTGCCTCTGAATAATTGAGTTAGTCCATGTATGTACATAGTGGGGAATTGCGATGCAGACTAGAACAAAAACTAACCCCATTCAACCCCCCCAATAACGACAGACCAATTAGTATGGATGAACAGGCCACAGCATTTATTATCACAAACTAAATTACTGCATAACACATCCATAACTTTATTTATTAAATCTCTTCTTTTTCTGTAACCAAAAACGTTAGACATAAATAAGCATAAATTAACATATATACATTTATAACTCCACACATAGTGTTATACAGTGACCCAACCGTCCTTGCCAATAAACATACAGTGGTTCCTAATCACCACTTCCTCTCACCTCCTTCCTTGTCATAAAATCATATCTTTCCAATGCCCGCCATCAGCCGACCTTATCCACGCTCGATGGGCACGACACCTAATGTTAACCGTTTGAAGCAGGGGAGGTTGAGACCTTAAAAACTTGTTCATTTCATTCCATATACTTAAACGTAACCCCTCAAACTCAATTGGCAAGGACATACCCCCGCAGTGGCGTACACATGACCCATGGGGCCCCGGTGTGAAAATTGATCCGTGGGCCCCCCCCCCGGGCGCGGGCCAGGCCGCAACACATGGCGGTGGGCACCTGGTCGCAGGGGTTACAAGGCTGCGACCCCTGTGACCGCGGTATGTACGCCAGTGCATGCAGATGCACACACACTTAAAGGACCACTACAGACACCCAGATCACTTTAGCTCAATGAAGTTGTCTGGGTGTCAGGTCCCTCTAGTTTTAACCCTGCAGCTGAAAACATAGCAGTTTCAGAGAAACTGCTATGTTTCACTGAGGGTTAATCCAGCCTCTAGTGGCTGTCTCACTGACAGCCGCTAGAGGAGCACACTGAACGTCCATAGGAAAGCATTGAGTAATGCTTTCCTATGGGCGGTTTGAATGCGTGCGCGGTCGCATTCGGAGCTGAGAGGCTGAGGGATCCCCAGCGCCAAGGGAGTCCGGCGCTGGAGAAAGGTAAGTGCTGAAGACACACACACACACACTTACAAACGCATACACACTAGCTAACAGACAAACACATTTACTGACAGAGACACACTCAGCGACAGACATACATACACACTCACTTACAAAACATACACTCTCATTGACAAACACGCACTCACTAACAGACATCAAAGACTCACTGACACTCACTAGCAGACACACACACTAACACTCACACACACTAACACTCACTAGCAGACACACATACTAACACTCACTAGCAGACACACACACTAACACTCACTAGCAGACACACATACTAACACTCACACATACTAACACTCACACACACTAACACTCACTAGCAGACACACACACTAACACTCACACACACACTAACACTCACTAGCAGACACACACACTAACACTCACTAGCAGACACACACACTAACACTCACACATACTAACACTCACTAGCAGACACACATACTAACACTCACACACTAACACTCACTAGCAGACACACATACTAACACTCACACATACTAACACTCACACATACTAACACTCACACACACTAACACTCACTAGCAGACACTCACTCTAACACTCACTCTAACACTCACTAGCAGACACACACACTAACACTCACTCTAACACTCACACTCACACACACTCACACACACTCACTCTAACACTCAAGCAAACACTCTAACACACACACACACACACACACACTCTAACACTCACACACACACTCTAACACTCACACATGTTTTTTTTTTTTTTTTTAAATGTAATCCCCCCCCAGCCTCCTTACCTTTTGGAGTGCTGGGGGGATTCCCTGGGGTCCAGTGGTGCTGCTGGTCTCCTGGGCGGGTGGCCGGTCGGGCAGGCGGGCGCGCGAGGGAGAACTCAGTGCTTCCTCTTCAGCTCCCTCGCGCGCCGCGTAGGGATGCCGGCGCCGGAAGATGACGTCATCTTCCGGCTCCGGTATCAGTGCGGTGCGCGAGGGAGCTGAAGAGGAAGCACTGAGTGCTCCCTCGCGCGCCCGCCTGCCCGACCGGCCACCCGCCAGCTGGGGTCAGCCTCGGGGGGCCCTGGGGTGGTCGGCTCCTGGGCCCCCCAGGGGAAGAGGCTGGCCCAATGGCGTACATACCGGGTCGCAGGGGCGGCCGGGCCCCCTGGTGGGCCGGGCCCGGTCGCAGCCGCGACCCCTGCGACCCTGGTATGTACGCCACTGTACCCCTGGCTAGCTGTGACTAAATATACTAATAGGGCGGTCGGGAGGGAAGCTGTTTGCTGGCCCAAATCTCAAGTGGCACTGAGGTAAGACCTCCCCTACACTAACTTACACAGAACATAATCCCACCCACACACTCTTTCCCAACTAATCCCATGCATCTATCCCTACACTCCTACATGTGCTCTTGTCTCCCCAGGGCCTTTGTGTTTGGTAATTGTATCACAGGTAGAGGGGAGGGTTTGTGTACATTATCTGGTAGTGCCCGACTGTACAAAAGTGTTTTGATTGGCTTTGTAACTTTGTGTCCTGTGCTCCATAAGGTCCACGTGGGTGGTAACCTTGTGGGAAACTTGTATAAAAGAGACCATAAACACTCACTTCATCCAGACCTGCTTAACCCCCAATACGTAGCCTCATCTCGTTATTGTAGGGAACTGCTATAATCACACTGGGGATTGCTATACTTTTTATACTCCCCTGAGCTCTAATCACTTAGCTCTTTTAAGAGCTGTTCCTGATACGCTCCTGGAGGAGAGGTCTTTCCCACACGGTCCTGGATGTCAGAGGTTGATCCAGGATGGAAGGAAGACGGCGAGACTCCAGTTAAGCAACGGCGGTTGTGGAGTCTGCGGTGGTTGTGGTGTCTAGTGCGGTGTTTATGGTCCCTGGCGTCGGCTAGGAAGCATCTGTCAATGGGGGGCCAGATGATCCGTTACAGTGTCCACGGACAGATCTGACCTGCTGCCTGTTGCAGCTGTACTATTACCTTGTGCCTGCTTCTGTTTTAAATATTGTCTGTGTTTTGTGGTGCCCACTTATCATGGAGGATTCTAATGCCACGTCTGGTGACTTGCTAAGGTGCTTACCACTAGTTTGGACACAGGCAAGCCTGCCCCTCCAATGAAATGAGCACAACAATTTATGCACCTATGGCTACGTAAGCCTCTTAAGAAGGATGTACGCAATCACCTGTGCTCAGAATGTCCTTGCCCTTCTTTGCCCCAGGTTGCACAGACCCCAGAATTTGACCCACTAATGCTGACCTTTATGGCCCGCGATGGCCGTGACCCACACAAAGGGGGCAAAGGGGCTCAAGACAAGTTGCTGAATGCTAATGGCCCTATATCCAGGATTATGTTCTTGGTGGACAATTCCCTTACTAGGACAGATTCCTTCGATGTTGATGCTGCACAGGAGTGGGCACAATACATTTGTGAATGCGCTCAGAGGTGCTTTTGTTTCTTAGGAAACACTAATGTCACTCTCTCCTCGGAGAGGCGGAAGGCAGCCCTGTTTAGGATTGACGACACATTGGCAGACTTGAGTTTGTGTGAACTTGGTCCTCAGGCACAGGGTAAATTGCCATAAACCTTTATGAAGGAAGGTCACAAACTTGTGAATGGTTTTTACCACCCTCAATAAGGCCCAGACCTCTTTGAAGAAAGTATTTCATGGTGCTCATCCCTCGGGCAGGGCTGGTCAACAGCTGGGTTGTGCCACCAGTCGTTTCTGGCCTTTGAGCCCAAACTCATCACAATTCCAACCTTTCTTCCCAGCTGTGGGCGGACATCAAGGCTTCCAATGCCACTGTGGATCGGACAGAGCTCGTGGACCACGCGGTATAGACTTGCTCATGCTTCTCCTCAGGTAAGACATTTCTTCTCCTCCCCACTGGGGGAGGACTTCCACCCAGGGATCCATTTGAGGGATCTCAAAGCCCACGTGATCTACCGACACTTCAAAATGGAGGGCATTCATTTTCTACAGGATTTGCTATCCTCATGACCTGTTCTGGAGATTCCTCAGTTTTCTCTGGTGAGGAAACACATGGCAATTCACTTGCCTCCCTTTTGGGCTTAGCTCAGTCCCATGGTGTTTCACCAAACTGCTGAAGCCAGTGGTTGCCCACCTTTGATCAAGGGGGATCCATTGCATTATCTACGTGGATGACCTTCTGGTGTGTTGTACAGATCATCCACATCTGCAGAGACAGACACACTTCACGGTGTGGTTTCTAGAATCGCTGGGATTCGTGGTATATCACTTCCTTTGCAATCAAATTCCTGGGGTTCGAGATGGACTCCAAATCCTGCGTGCTAAAAAGTTTTCTGCTTTCCAAAGTATCATTTGTTTGAAAGGAGATCCGCTCTGCCCTGCAGTTTGGTGCCTCTCCGGACTCTGGCGGGAATCATGGGCCTCCTGGCATCCTCCATAAGGGTGATATTCCCTGGTCAGCTTCACTACAGTGTGATGCAGAGGTTGAAAGCAGAATTCCTCCACACGCTGCCGACCTACGACCAGATGGTCCCATTGATGGGGGACATCTGGATGGTATTACTTTGGTGGCTGAACAGCATTGAGGCTTAGAAAGGCTGTACCATATTCGGTGCTCAGCTAGACTTCATCCTGTCAGATGCCAGCTTGTGGGGCTGGGACGCACCCAGTGAGTTGTCCTCCACAGGAGAGGTCTGGTCGACCCTGGAGATGTCCGTGCATATCAAATTGCCTGAAACTATTGGTAGGCTCCTTTGCGATCCGCAGCCTAGCGAAGGATCAATCCAACTGCTGCATACTACTACAGATGGTCAATGTATCCACGGTCTGCTAGATCAATCATCTCAGAGGGGCTTGTTCAAGGATGGTGTCGGAGATTATGATGGACATCTTTGATTTCTGTTCACACGCAACATCAAATTGCAAGCGGAATACCGTCCGGAGATATCGAACCTCAGCAGACTGGTACTCCTGCACTGGATGGACAGCAGCGATTGGATGCTGGACCAGAGATTGTTTGCAACGCTCTCATCAGAGAGGGGTCCCTTGACATTGGAGCTGTTTGCCTTGCACAACAACCATCAGGTTCAGGAATATTACAGTTGACTGCCAGACCCTCACTGCTTGGCAGTGGATGCTTTCCTCCAAATATGGCCTCCCCAAGGAACCTATGCTTTTCCTCCTTTGCGATGATCACACAGGCCATTCATCACATTAGGTCTCAACAGGTCTCACTGACATTGATCACCTCCTGTTGGCAGGGTCAACCTTGGTTTCCGGACCTCTCTTGCTGCATCCCTCTGGAGCTGCCAATATATCAAACTTTGCTCACGAATCCCCGGGGGAACCCACATCTGTTGCTTCGAGATTACCATCTCCAACTAGTGGCCTGAACTCTTTCCAGGGTTCCTGGCAGGTCGGTGGCCTTTCGCAGATGGCTAAAGGGTTCATGGACCTGGGCACGAGACAGTTATTTATCCACCTGGACTTCTTGGGCCGATTGCCTTGTGGAACGGGACATATCGGACCATTAATGTCGTTCATTCTGTGATTTTGGCGGCTCACGTGCCAGTTATGGGTGCTCCAGTGGGGAAGGACCCTTAGATTTGCTGCCCCAAATATGATTATGGGACGTATCCATGGTTCTACGTTTCCTGCGGAACCGGTCGGTGAATCACAAACTTTCTATTATGTCTGGTATCTTTTCGGCGAGTGTCGTATGTTTGTGTTTCCGATGTTGATGCCTTTTCTTTTTCCCCTGAAAGGGGTCATGTTTCGGATTTCCCGACCGACTAGACAGACTCCTCGTCAGTGTTTTACCCGTTTTCACATCAGACCCACAGCTGTGTGTGGTCTCCGCTTTGCGCTGTTAATTGGGTGTTACCTGCGTTCCTCCTTGACGGGTCAGTTTCTTGTGTCCTACATCTGGCCATTTAATCCGGTGTCGGTTACTACACTGGCCAGGTGGATTCGCTGGCTCCTGCCACTATCTGGTGCTAATGCCTCCTTCATAGCCCACTCTATTCGCGGAGCGGGCGGGCCGGCAGCCTTGGTGGATGGCGCCTCACTTGTTGATATCTTACAGGTGATGGATTTGTTTCGGATTTATATTTCCTACCCTCTCATAATGCTACGTATTCGGTTTTGACATAACAATGAGAAGTATGAAGCTTCCTGCCATGTTGTAAAATTGAAAATTATACTAGCTTTAGTGTTCTAATAATCTTAATAATGACAGGAGGCAAATATCTTCCCACCGGTTTTCTCCCTTGTTTCTTACTGTCTCTGTTCTCAAGTATGTTTATCCTCATAAACTCCATAGATAAGATTACATTAAAAAATTAAATATTAAATTATTAAAAGATTGAAGTGATCATAATTTATAATTCATTTAATTACTTATTTTGTATTGTTTTTTGGGACTATAGAATTTTATTAATTATTATATTTATACAAATTCACTGTGTTTTTCAAAAGATATGAACTGATACTGTACTTTTTATTTATTTTTTTATGTAATCTTATCTATGGAGTTTATGAGGATATTACGAGAAAACTGGACATTTTCTGAAACCACGGAACGAATACGATGTAGTATTCAATCAGAGAGAAATAAGTCTATCCGCCATCCACCATATGGAAAGATGAAAGGAACTGAGATGTCAATACCTCAGCACCTTTTGGTACTGGTATGGAAGAGAGGCATGAACCGCACACGCCGTACCTGTGGGTGGTACTGGCGTGTGATGACTATTCCACATCGGTTACTTACCCGCCGTTTTGGGAAAAATTTTAACCAGCAGAGGGAACCTACAAGGGTAGAGGTGAGCATATTGCTCCCGTAGGTGCCTACTGGTGGCAGCAGCAGCTCTGAGGGCAGACAGGATGCCTTCAATATCCATCCCCCAAGCAGGAAAGTCACCAGGCCCAGGACAAACAGGAGCGCAGAGGCAGGGAAGTTGTTTGCTGGCCAGAATCCCAAAAGGCACTACAAACCCATAACCACTCCCCTAAACACATACAGCCAATCACTAGCACCATCCCCACACTCATACATGTGCCCTTGTCCGTTTAGTTGTGCTGACTCCCCAGGGCCTAAATACTCGCCTCCAGTCTTTATTAAAATTAAGATTATACACTAAAGCTAGAATAATCTTCAATTGTGTTATTATGTATGGTATGGTGGTTTCTGATTGTGTCTCTGTATGCGACTACTTGTGTTTTTGTGTATATGACTGTGAGTGTATCCATTTTTTTATGTGAGTGCATGTAAGCTTGCATGCAGACATGTATGTATGCATATATAAATAATAAAATAATAATAATGTCACTGTATATGTATGTGCATGAACATTAAAGGACCACTATAGTGCCAGGCCCCCCCACCTGATCTAGGGGGAGGAAGGGGTTAAAGGCTTACCTTTCTCCAGCACTGGGGACTCTCCTCTCTCTTCTGCTTAATATGCATGCGCAGCAAGAGCTGCGCGTGCATTCAGTCAGTCCATAGGAAAGCACAGTGAGAAGCGTGGAATCACAGTGAGAAGCGTGGAAGCGCCTCTAGCGGCTGTCAATGAGACAGCCACTAGAGACTGAATTAACCCTAATGTAAACATAGCAGTTTCTCTGAAACTGCTGTGTTTACAGCAGGCAGGGTTAACCCTAGATGGACCTGGCACCCAGACCTCTTCATTGAGCTCAAGTGGTCTGGGTGCTTATAGTGGTCCTTTAAGGGTGAGAGCATTCAGAAATAGACAAGTGGTAAGAGGGAGTTAAGAGATAAAAATAACGTGGGTTAAGACACATGCAAGAGGGTGAAAAGGGTTAAGAGACACAGAATTGAAAGGGTGGATTAGGAAAAACACAAGAAGGGTCAGGAGATACACACAAAGGGTTAAGTGGATGCGGAGTGTCACACAGAAATTTAAAACTTGTGGAGGCAACATATATATTCACCCCTGGTGCCAAGTTTCCTAAATGCACCTCTGGTCACACTGTTTTAGAATGGTTTGACTTCTTACTTGGGGACTGCTGGAACTTCTCTGTCTAAGAAAAGTCCGTAGTGCAGGATTTAGCTCATTGGCCGAGAGCGATCAGCTGACACTCGAAGTAATTTACATACCTTTTCTGCCTTGTTTCAGTCCTCCCTTCGGCTGGCCCCACCTCCCTTGCTGAAATGATCAAGATTGATGATGTCATCAAATCCAGCGTTTTACCACAGGAAAGTATTGGGGGGGCTTGAGCGCATGAGACCATCTGACTGAAATAGCCCGGTTTTACTCTGATATTTTGTCCTAAGCGCCTATCCCTGCAATTTAAACATTCATGTTCCTGCAGAAGAGCAGTGTTGAACACTGCAGGTTTAAAACAAGGGGGATTGGATCATTTCATTAAGAAGAAGTGTCCATTTAATTGCAGAGACCAGCTCTGTAGCTGATGAAAAGTAAGGAAATATATGAGCCAATTTTATCAAATGCATTTTTTTGCAACAATTAAATTCATTAAGAAAAAATAAAGGCCTCTTTGAGTATAGAGCAGGGCTCGATTCCTGCAGGACCGTGTGGGAAGGGCGTTCCTGCACTTTTTTTTTACAGCAGGAAGGCTGTTCCCGTTGCTCTTGCAGGCACTTGGGGGCGGAAATAAATGCCGCCTCCAAATGCCCCCATATTCCTCCTGTCATGGGCCATTCGACAAACGAACACGTGGCGGCGGCCATCTTTGTTCATTTGATCGAGGTCAGCGGTATGTGTAGCCAAATCCATGGAACAGAAATCGGCTTCACATTTCAACGAACACCGCTGACCCTTACCTTCTCCTACACTCCGTTTTCAGCTTCAGAGACTAAGTCCCGTTCCGCAGTTTGAACTCACTGCTATACTAAGCTAAATTCACGAATGGCCCCTAGTTATTTTTCTGTGTAAAATAGACCGACCGCACAGCCCAAATCTATGGAACTGTTTTGGACATGAAAGGACATAAAGGACTCCCA